AAGGGAGATGATGCCCTGGGGTGCTGCCTCTGTGTACCACCGCTGAGGGAAATGATGCTTTGCAAGGCTCCCTGCTTTATAAGATACCAGAAAATCCACATCAGGGAGGACTCTCTCTAGCACTTATGAAACTTGGGGGGAATAAAGCCAAAACATGCCCTGCAATAGCTTCTTTCTGCTGCTCTCTTTACCAATATTGGTATTTTTCTCAGAGCCTCGCTTCCTGCATTGACACAGATTAATGAGCATCTGGTTTTTATGTTTCTGAAGAAGTTTGTAGGCCATGTGTTGCAGAGAAGCTGTGAAATGTGACCGTCCCGTGTCTCTTTCCAGGCTCCACCCTGCAGTCTGTCATCTGCTCCAACGACGCCCTCTTCTACTTTGTGTTCTTCTACCCCTTCCCCATCTTTGGCATCTTGATCATCACCATCCTCCTGGTGCGGTTCAAGAGCCGAAACTCCAGCAAGAACTCAGAGGGCAAGAACGGGGTCCCCTTGCTGTGGATCAAGGAGCCTCACCTCAACTACTCTCCCACTTGCCTAGAGCCGCCGGTCCTCAGCATCCACCCAGGAACCATAGACTAAAGAGGCAGAGGCGCCTGGGGGGACGCGCAGAGAGAGAACGCAGAGACACACCGGGAACACTAAGGAACAGAGTGGTTTTTGTTGTTCTTGTTTCATGTTTCAGTGTCTGTGCTCCGGCGCAGTGGCTGAGCTCTGCAGAGCACCCAGCCGACGGGGACAGGAAAGTCCAAGGCTTTCTTCAGCGCCTGTAGGAACGCACCCTATCACCCCGACGGATGGAGGGTCCCTGTGCTTGCTGTACATAGCGGATGTTCCTCTCGGATTAATTTTGCTCCTGTCAGTTGCTGTCCTTTGGGCTGTTACTTTTCTGTTGTCGTTTCTTTTTCGGTCACTCCAAGAACTGTAGCCTTCCCCCACCCTCCACACAGCGAGGAGTTCACAGGGGGGCTTTTCGTCCTGGGACGATCTTTCTGGAAGCAAATGTATACGTTTCCCAAAACAGACTGTGGTTTTCCTCCTCAGACTCGGTGCCACGGTGAAGAAAGTCTTTTTCCAAGGTGCGCTGAGCTAGCTCCTTCCTCTTCCAAAGTAGACAAAGCCAGGTCCACCTCCGGAGGGGGTTAGCTGGGCTATCAGGAGGTTCATCTCAAAGGCTGGCTGTAGCCTCAGCATCTTCTTGCCTCCATCTTACTGTTCTCTCAGGAGGGGGCAATTCACCTTTTGGGAGCGTTCCCCCCTCTAGGAGAGACTGAATATTCAGCGTGCTTGCTGTCAGGACAAAAGCAATTTAGTTTATCTCCAGGAACTGAAGGGGGGGATGGAAGGACACCTGAAGGCCCTGACTTTGTTGGTAGCAAAGAGGCTCCTCGTACGGTCCACCTTACCAGAGTCGTGCTCCTCCCTGTTGTCCACGCTGCCACCTCTGACGAGGCAGGTCCCCTCTGTGCCCCAGTCACCTGGGGCAGGTGGCTGGATCCAGTCTCTGAAGGCTTCAACACGACCAAAGTAATGACTTTAGAAAGGGGGAAAGGGGAGGCTCCACGAGTTGGGTTCAGGGCCCCTGGATGGTTTAGCCAAGGAGCCTGGTTGCGGCCACACCATGCAGCGGGGACGTGCAATTAACCACCACGTGTCACGAGTTTCCCCGTGGCTTGCACTACTGGCGCAAGCTTGGACAAGACAAGGAGCCTGCACCACATCGGGGCCCTGGGGGCTTCCCTGTCCCCTTGGGCCAAGAGCAGTCTTCCCCTGCATGTGGGTGTGCATCTGCCATTTATTGCTCCTGGGGCTTTAGGAGAAACCATTCCTCTGTAAGCTCCCCCTCCTGGCAAAGTCACCTGCTCTTGTCATAGGCAGTCGCTGTGGCAGGAAATGCTGTTCTTTCTGTGAAAGATATGGCTCTCGCAAACCAAACCAGGGCTCTCTCCATGTGGGGCACCTGAGGTCCCGTACCCCATAATGCCAAGTACCCCTGCCCTGTCCTGTGGAGGAAATTGCCTCCTCCCCCATACGCCCAAAGTGTTATGTCTGGCAGAAGAAAATGTTTGCCAAAAATGGCCTTCGTTGTCTTCCTTGATGTCTTCCTGGCAAATCCGGCCATTTATTTTTTGCAGCATGGCTGAAGCCAACCGGGGCAGGTGGGCGCAGCCACAAGACCCCCCCCCCCCCCCCATGCGGGAAAGGGGCCAAGCTGCCGTCCTCTTCAGGAGGGCTGGACTGCTCTTTGTGACGAGAAGGGGACCTCAGCAGATGCTCTGTAGCACTAGTCGGTTAGACCCTGATGCCTTGATGTTTCGGAAGTGGCGAAGCCTCGGGTGGGAGGTCTGCACCGCGCATCCTCTCTCCTGGCTGGGAGAGGACCCACGTGGCTGCGGACCATCCCGTGCCAGAGCATTCAAAGTCAGCCGCCTCTGCTCCTCCATCAGAATGGCATTGATTTCTTCTTCTGCTGGGAAGCCCAAATTTCACTCGTCCCTCTACAAAGTCTGCCTCCTCGAGACGTAACTGCTTACTGGCTCCAGCACAGGCATAGTATCACACTCCTGTATATCTCTCTCTCTCTCTCTATCTCACACACCCACACACTTGTCTTCCCTTTCTGGATAAGGCGTCTGCAAAGAGGAGTGGGATGAGAAGTGAATGGAAATGAAGAACCGAGGCGCAAACAGCAGCAGCTGCAGCCAGTGGGTATTGTTTCGTAAATGTAGTCTCATCTCCTGTACATACTGCTCCCGGGCAGGAACTTCAGCTTTAAAGGAAAAAAAGAGAAAATGAAGTTGGCGGGAGCCATTCTTTCCTGGGAGAGCACTGTGCTGCGTCCGAGCCACGCTCCCCCTCTCCAGCCTGTCTGCCCTGGAGGAGAGCTCTCCTGGAGGGCTGTCCTGGGGCCCCATCCCCCTGGCTGAAATGGGTCCCTTCCTGGCCTGGTGGTTCCTGCACCGAGTCCAGGCTTTCCCGGGAAGCGGCTCCCACGGTGGTCCCTGAATGTACCTTGCCGGTGACATTTCTTCTTTGCTCTGGCAGCGTGTTGCCCAGTCTCAAACTTCTCTCTGTTTTTATAAGGCAGACTCTTCCTGTAATGAGTTTTAACGCAAAGCTTTTCAAACCACTCTCTCCTGTAACTTTCTGTAACAAACCCAAGAAGAAAGAGAGATACCCTATCCATGCATGATGTGGAAAAATGTTTGGGATTTTTTTTTTTTAAAAAAAAAAAACAAAAACTTTGTACTATGTTGCACTAAAACATGTTTTATACAACACACCTGAGAGCTGTAGTAAACTGTGTTGAAATTGTGATTCCCATTGCTGCTGTTTTTTTGTCAGATTTAGGCTTTCATTATGCCTTTATGCACACTCCCTGCATAAAGGTGTGCTGAACTCCTGAGCCCCCTCCCCCTTTTAGGCAGCCTCTCCCCCACCCCTGTTCCCTGCTGCATCCACTCTCCTCCCGCCCCGGTAGCGCATGTCCTCTCTCTTGCAGGCTGGAGCTTGCAGACACCTTGCACCCTCTGGCTCTTCATACTTCTCCCTCCCATCCCTTCATTCATCCCATAATAGAATATAACAACAGAGGTGAGTCAGGTCTATTTATTGAATGGGATGCACTGTTTTTGAAATGCTCTGAAAATAGTAAGTACTTCGCTGTGTCATAGTCTGCATTTGAAGAAAAAAGCCACATTTTTTAAATAGAATTATCCACAGCAAATGTTAAGCAAATAATCTTTAGTAACCTTGATGTAAGTAGAAGACTATAGTTCACTGCAGAAGTTGCTTAAGTTGATGTAAAAATGCAACCTTTTCCTTGTCATTACCCGCTTTTACCTTGAGTAAGGGTTTGGTCAGTAGTCTTGAACTCCCCTATTAACTGAATTAGGGAAGCAGCGTGATATGTTCTTACCTGTATAGCAAAAGTGCTGTGAAATTGTGCAAAATGCACTGCTGATGCAGCACTTGGGTTGGGTTTGGGGTTTTTCTCCCATATTCATTTAAAACAAAAAAAATACCCTCGGCTAAAATAACTGTGAGAAAACCCTGTTGTCCCTGGACATGATGAGCTGTTTGCCTGCCCACCCCCCTCCCCGCCCTGGTAGGCTCTCTTGGGCTGTACGTGCTATAACCTCTGCGCGAAGGAGCACAGGTTTTTAGCTTTACACATGCTCAGTGCAATAGCAAGCGGTGTCCCCAGCACTCCCCATCAGCAGCACAGGGCACCGAGCGTGGGCTAGCCGTCCTGGGTTTGCCAGGAGGCATCTCCGCCAGCCCATGTACGCTCCCTGAGGCCAGGTGTGCGTCCCTGACCCCCTCTGGCATGCTCCTATGGGCAGGACCCTGGTTTGGGGCAGCCTGTGTGGGTTTTGCTGCCTGTCCCGCTGCTGGAGCATCGCGAGCAATGCTGCAGCACGCACTGCAGCTGCCACACTGGCGAGGAGGGATGCCTCGGGGCTCGGCTGCTCGAGGGACGGACGCACTGTTGCGTGCTCCCGTCACACCCCCTTGTAACTGCTTTCGCCCACCCACTGCCCCCAAGTCCCAAGCTGCTAGCTCCAAAATGGCCTCCTCACTTAAGCCAACGAACACAAACAGAAAAAGCAGGCCTGGCTCTGGCTTATGCTCGCGTGCTTTAATCCAGCGGTTCTGTAAAACTTAGAGTGAGCTAGGGGCGGCAGGCGGGGTAAGCGTGCCCCCGGGGGGCCCTGCCGCCCGCCGCCTCGGCGATGCGGTACAAGTCCTTGGCCACCTGCTCCAGGCGGTCCCTGTACTCCAGGTGGGCGTAGAGGGAGGCGCTGACCCCCCGGAAACCATACATGGCCCCCCACCAGCAGGCCGCAATAGTGGCGGTGGAGTCGCTGTCACCCCCGTGGAAGAAAGCGCGGTGAGCCAGCTCTGTCCAGGAGTCCCCCGCGCCCAGCAGTGCGTCGTAAGCGATGCCCACTGCTGCCCCCCCAGCCACTGTAGCTGAGCGAGGTGTAGAACGAGTCTCTCTCTTCCACGCCGTACTTGGGGGGGAAGGTGGGCAGCGAGACCCCGTCTGATATGCCTCTCTCCACCAGATATTTTTCCCATTGCTCTTCAAAGTAACGCCTGCAAAACAGGAGACAAGATGGAGGGGCTGTAAGAGACGTCCCACGGCAGCAGCATATACCCGAGCTCCCCGCAGGTGCTCCGGGCGCCAGCTGAAAACATGCCATGTCAAGAGCCTGGAGCAATGGCTCAGCAAAATGGTAGGCGTCCCCCATCTGTCAATCTAGGGACATGATTTACAGTAAGAGGCAGAAGGACATGTTTCAGTGAGTTAAGATTTCCCCTCCCTCCAGCCACATGGGAGAAGGCAGCGCAGCACCTGCTGCTGTCGCGCTGCACAGGATTCAAAGGCTCAGAGCGAGAACTGAGTCATCCTCCCAAATTCAGAGTACCTCTACCCCTGTCTGTGTGTGCTCCTGTGCACAGAGCCACAGTGAATCTGCAGCCACATTTGGTTATAACTTTCAAACTGAGCTCAGCCCTAAGCCTGGTGCTCTTCCCCAGTCTTGCTTCCCATCTTTCATCAGATCACGGTTGCTTGAGATGACAAGTCTAGCTACCTCATACTGGATCCAAAAAATGTCATACCTACATGACCCAAACATAATCTTTTTTTTTTTTTCTTCTAAATAAGTTAGACATATTTTTCCCCTGGGGGACTTCAGAGACTTTCTGAATCGATTCGATCCCACAGTAGTCATGTGCTGCTCTACGAGTTTACCATAAGGTGATTACGGACACCTAAGGATAAACAGACCTCACCCTCTCGTACGTGCAGTTTAATTTTAACAAAACCCAGTGCTGGGAGCGCAGCTCACCATTGCCCCATGTTCTCCTTCACGAAGAAGCCGGTGTCCTGCACGTAGGCTTTTGCCTGCGGCAGCACCTCCAGCAGCTTCTTCCCCCAGGCCAGGGGGGGCACACCGTTCACCGCGAAAGCCGTGAAAAGGGCCGAAGCCAGGGACCCCAGGTAGCCGGTGGGGTGGTGGTGGGTCATTCGGCCACTCTCAATGCTGACTTGGACCAGGGTTTCCAGCTCAGCAGGGTGGCAGAAACGCAGCCCAATGCACATGGAGCGCATGGCAGCCCCGCAGCCTGCCGCCCTGGGGCTGAAGGGGATCCTCCAGCCGTTCGGCTGCGATGGATTCAGCTTCAGCGCGTTTTCCTGACATGTGGCACCTGGACAGGAGCAGCAGAGCCCAAGAGCAAAAGAAAGGAAAGAAAAGAAAGAAACAGAAACACGCATCAGTAGGCGACAGGGTCACATAGCTCGGGAACCGAGGGAAGACAGGCAGGGTAGCAGGAAAGGAAGCATTACTCTCTGTAAGGGATTTGGGCTTCTCTGTCAAAACATCAGTTGTCTGCTCACATATGTTTTTTGCCTTAAGTTGCCGATGCCTCCTGCGTATTCCCAAGCAGACCTGGTAATTCCTGTTTGTGAAAATAATTTAAAAGTCTAGGGGAGTAAAAAGCCTTCCACTGCTGATTTACGTAATTTACATTTACATATTTACATTTCATGTTATTTAATAACTTATCTATAAAACATATATACTATATATATTAGGTATACTATGTACACATGTATCTAGATATCTAGGTAGACATATATAAATATTAAGGAGTTTTGGAGGGCCATCAGATCACATCGATCCTTGATCCAAGGCATGCCTAAGTACCTCTGCAGTTTTTTTGCTGACAGTTGTTTAGCCTCTTTACAGGACCCTTTACAGACAGTGACCCCACATGCTCCCCAGGAATCTTTCCCATTGCCTCACCGATACAAAATGTTGTCCAGATCCTCCTTGCTGCAGTTTAAGTTTGTCAGAAAGCGAAGAATATAGTATCTCTCTCACCACAACATGGTCTGCATAACTGGCTTTACTGTACTCCAATAAGCTGAAGAACAACTGTACTAGGTCAGACCAAAGGTTTGTCCAGCCCACTGGCTCGTCTCCAGACACAGCCACTACCAGATGACTATGGAAAGAGTATAAAAAATGAGGCAAGTACAATGTTTCCCCAAGAAGACCCGCCTGGCTTCCAGCAGACAGAGGAGCACAGCCTGCTTGAGTCAGAAGATGGATCCAAAATGCTGTGTTCAATAACCCCCAATGGACCTAGCCACCATGAACTGGTCTCCTTAGCTTGAACCTGTTCATGCCTTCAGACTCCTTCAACATCCCATGGTAACCAGAGCCACAATTTTGTTATGCAAAGCATTTCCTTTTGTTTTAAACTGACATCTGGCAATTTCCTTAAATTCCCCTCTAATTCTTACATTACAAGAAATAACACTTTTCATGCTCCAGGCTATTCAAGACTGTACATACTTTGTCCCTCTCCCTCAGTTTTCTCCTGCTCCCAGCTGACACCCTAGTCCAATTTTGCCCCTCTTCTGGTGCGAAGCCACACCATAACTCCTCCTTGCCCACCTCCATCTCTTTCACAGTTCTGCTATTTACTTTTTAAAGAAATGACTCTGCTTCTTCCAGTGGTGCTTCTTCAGAAACTCACTTAGTCCAGCACATTCATATCATAAAGCCATCTGCACAAACACATCCAAATTTCAGAGCCCAGCCAGCTTCCCCAGCCAAGACCGTGAAACAAATTTTGAGAGCTAAGCCCAAATGCTCGTGTGCAAGGAAGAGGAAACAGGTTTGAAACATTAAGTTATCTTTGATTCTCTTCTACCTTGCCTTTTTCTCCTAGTCTTCCCTTCTGGCCAAATCTTAAATGCTTCTTTTCCAGCAGAAAGGTAACTCAAGGGCAGGTTTCAAGCAGCTTCATTTAAGTTTTAATGTGTTGGACAATCGCAAAAGTGGACTCAAAAGACCAGTCTTCTCCTAACCACAGCGCACCCAGTCCTCTCTCAGACACACAGGGTAACAGCAGCAGTTGACATGCTCATGCACCCAAAACTAGACCGTTGCTCCTCTACTTTGCTGCCTAACCGAGACAGGTAGCTGATAAACTTGCAGGTGCTCTGTTACTCTGAAAGTCAAACTAAGTAGAACAGAGTAGCAAGGGAGAAGCCTGGTCTAGAAACTTCACATAACTACAATTCAATTACGTTTGGTACAATTCGATCACCATGATCTGGGAGCTTGCTAATCACAGCTAGGCACTACACTAAGTACTCTGCAGAGCTGTCCACTTCCTGCACTTTCATGTATACGCTTGGCAGTAGGATTTGGTATATGGCAGTCTGTTTTACCTGCACACGGCATTTACAGCACCCTTGTAACCGAAATACCTCCACATCCAATGGGCACAGCTTTAAGACTGGCTTCTCAACATGTGCTAAAAATAAATAATGGCTGGCTGGTGTCAGGAATAAGGTCACGTGGCTCCTTTTATAGTTCTGATCTAAGTGTCTTCCGCGTACTTCTTTTCCAACAGTGTTGTTACATTACAGGCTTATTAGATCGGCGCAGGATACAGCCCTCTGTGCAGTGTGAACAGGTGGACCAGCTCCCCGTGAACGGTTGCCTCAAACTGAAAAAGCAGCTTGGTCCTGTGGCTGTCGGACTATTCACCCCACAAGCCTGTCAACTGAAATCAACTTTGAGAATGGAAAGGGCCTGTGCAAGTCTCCCCCACAGGAAAAAACGGCTTGCCAGTCAGCACAGCCCACAATGTCAAGCCACTTCAGCTCTCATGAATTCCCCACAGCGTGACCCAGGCGCAAACCAGACCTGCTATTTCACCAGCCTCATCCATGCCTGCTGTGCCGGCACACCGGCCTCTCGCGTGGTGCCACCGTCACCCCCTTCCCAGCAGATGAGACCTGCTGGATTTGTGGTGCCACATGGCCAGCCAACCCCTGGGTCAGTCCAGATGTTCCTCACACATCCTTCTTCCCGGTGCTTTACAGAGTGAAAATTGCGGGGCTGTGTTTCTCTGCTGGAAGAAGCAGTAGGCAGAGCTTTTGGTGTGGGTAGCACCGGGCTCTGCCGGGACTGATCACCACCAACCTCTAACTGAACTGCCTGGGAGTTTGATTTTGTGATGTCTCAAAGTGGGAACGTGTTCAGGCCTCTACATCTACTTTTCATGTAGTTTATTAACTCAGCGCTGGCTGCTATGTATCAAAATCATTAAGAGGGATGTCAGTATAATTTCCAACTTTCTGATGATTAACAGAAAACTGAGGCTTTTTTTTCTAAAATCTAACTACACTAAGCATTGCACTTATGACCTATAATAGGACATTAAAAAGAACCTGTCAAACAAAGCCACATTTTTCAAAAGCTGTACCAACTACCCTATTCGTATGTTCCTAGTAAAACAGACCTTCTGCCAGGAAGACAAGGGGAAGAGGAGAGAGCAAAGGGACTAGGGTAGCTTAAAATCAAAATCTGCATAATAAAAGCAAAATGAACTCTGTGATCTTGCTAGAACTGTGACAAAGACATTTCTTCAGGACACGTTTGTGCAGGTTGAGAGCAGCCAGTTCAGTCCTTGATAAAAAGTGATATTGTTCTTGCATTAACCATAGTCAAAAAAAAATGAGGAAGACGACAAGGCTTAAACTGTAAGGAAAAAGCGGTTATTCTGCAATAACAATTTACTTGCAGCTTTAAATCTGAGTGTTTTACTTTAGGCGATCACTACTGATAACCTGTAAATTAAAAAAAAAATTGTGTAAAAAAACCCCATATACAACAGCTAAGATTCTTGTGATTTATGAAGTATTATCCTCACGCTTTTCAACAGTTAAAATATTAAAACATTTGAAAGCCGATTTAGGAGGACCAAGCTAAAATCACGTTGTCAGGTATTTTTTTTAAAAACAGGTTTTAAAAAAAAAAAAGTGCTGTAGGAGTTTTTATATCAGGAAATTCTGTTTTGCAAATCCACCAAATCCTGGTTAGAAGTTCTTTGTACTAACAATAAGAGACTAAAAGCAACCTGAGGAGGGTACTGGTTTAAGGAAAGAAGAAATACAAGCAAAAAGCAGTGTGTGAGAAAGACAACCTGAAAAAGTTTCAAGTACGACTGGACACTATTTCTGGAATAGGGTTCCATTCCACTTACTTAAGACTCTTCATGAGCACAGACAATAACAGTTGTTTGGGATCAATCAACACACATAAAAAAGGTGAGTTAAAACAACTACATAGTGGTAAATAATTCCACAGCGAGAGGACTTGGACCGAAAGACAGAGTTTTGAAGCAGAAGGTTTCCTGGAGAGCTGTGGAGGCAGATGTAGTTGTACCATGAAAAAAGAAATATGGCCATGCTTGTGTTGTTTAATTCATTGCCTTCATTATCTGTAAAGAACAATGAATTTGGGGCTGTGGCACATCACAAAGAGCAATAATGGATATAGGGATTAACTTGCCATTGAATTAAGACACTGAGTTCTCCCCTGGGGCTGTATACTTGAGGTACACTGCTGCTGCCGTCTGGTGACTCATAACGTTGTGGGAATCCCTTTGTTGCTGCAGGTTTTTTTTTTTAAGGTCTAGACTCCCTTGTGTGGGTGAGCAGTGTGACTTTCCCCCACTGTTCTGGGGGAATCTCTTCTCTGTTGGGTGGAAGTTGCAGCAGCAACTTTCCATTCTCAGCCTCAAGGGCTGCGATGCCCTGGTGAGTACTTACTTTGGCCGGAACAGCGTCACCTTGGGTTATGATCTCAGTTAAAATCTATTTACTCTGAACTGCGGAAAGAAGTTATTGACATGCAACTTCTATCATTAGGATTTATCAATATGGCATGGAGACTCCAGACTGCAGACAGCTATTCAGGATATGGATTAGGTACTTCCTTTGGTAGTACATCAGTGGGCATTAAACTGTTAAGTATCAGGATTTAAGCTCTCAGAGCTGAGCACCTTTCCTGTGGCTGCAGCAGGAGCACTCCAGAATGCTGTGCAAGAACATTCCCAACAGACTTCAGGTTTTTTTCCATGTTACTTTCCCCCCTTCCCCCAAAATTTTATAAGGTTAAGTGTCCACAGACCCACTAAAGAAGTTGCATTTCTTTGTTTAGCTAGATAACCTGTCCTTTCCTTGTCACTCCGATTAGTGTCCATAGCAAATTTACTTTAAAATCCTTCACTTCCAAATGGGAACTGCTTTTGGGCATCTTGCAGCTCACTTACTCACAGGACTGCAGCAGGTGTGCTATTAGCCTTAGCTATTAATTACTAACATTTAAATTTTAGGTTCTTCTCGTTTTCATCTCAGGTTTTAGTCACCGAGCTTAGATAGCGGAGGCAAAAATAGCCTCCAGGTGCTGTCTCACTGCCAGCTGTGGTTAGTCCACCTTGGCAGACCCCATCAGCTGGAGGAACTACAAGATGCTCCTTTGCCAAAACAGCAGTGAGTATCTCGGAAGTTTAACCTGCCAACTCCTGCTATCCTGGCAAGCATTGTTACCCCTTCCTAAATACTTTATTACTTAGGGTACTCCAATAACTGAGACTATCTGTGTTAAAGAATACTGATAGTTTAGTTCTTTACACGAGGGTAGGAGGTCACTGTGGAAAGGTAAGCAGAATAAATTCCTGCTCGAGTTTCCAACCTCATTTACCTTGGAAATGCACAGCTCTGTCACACTATGCTCAGTGACCCTAAGAGAGCAATGCAGGATTTGGCCTTTCCCATGTTTAATGTCAGCCAGAACATTCTTGAGATATATTCTGGTCACTCCAGATAGGCACATCTAGGCAATTTATTTTCGATGTATAAACTTTGCATAGGATTGCTGAATTTGAGCATTTTCTGGATATATCATGCTACCTGCACAAGTCAAATTAGAGGCCCAGCCTCAGTAGCTCCAATTTAAGTTTAATTCAAGCATCCAGAAGAGGCTGGGCGATGAGCACAGAGAGAGAGATGGGGTCCTCAGGGAAGAGTTGGGTCAGCAGGCCTGGGTGAACTAGGAACTACAGGAACATGCTGTATATGGTTTGGCTACTGCAGCCTGTCAAGGCGCCCTTCCTGAATACTGCCACACACTGCCACTCCCTGCTGCCTGTGATCCAAACTCGGCACCATTGTGTCTATGCAGAGAAAAGAGAGACGATGGAAGTATAGGGTTCAGAAAAGATGACTGTGGCCTGACTGTCCTGGCACAGAAAGTAGACATGCAGAGCTAGCCAAAAGTAGACTTTGGGTTTAATAAATTTAATTATTCCAAGCAAGGATCTTTGTGCCTTTAAATATATTTTATGTGTAATTTATTGCACTTATTATGAGAAGTTCTATATTTAGAATATTTAGAATTTAGAAATCTCTGTTTAAATGTGTTGCTTTAACACAGCTTCTCAGGGTGCACATTATACACGGTTGAATTTATGTTTTTCATCCACTGAGTGTAGGAAAAGACACATCCGCAGCACAAAAGCCAGCATCCTTCCCCTGAGTTCAAGGCCAGGCCTCAAACACACCTGTAAGAATGTTTTGGAAACATGTGCAAAACAATATCTTTTTCATCTAGTTCAGAGAAGCCCAAACCACTTCAGCTTGCCTTATTATATTCTCTTTAGTTCATCCTGAAACAGGTACTGAGCGTGCAAAACTTCTGCCTTTACATGAAATAGGATTAACGCTATGAACAGCCAGGGCCAGCCTCAGCTCCAAGCTGCAGGAAAGGGAGAGAGGTTAGCGAGAGGACAGCCCTGCCCAGACAGCATTATAGAGGGGTTACCTGGAGCTCTGCCCATCATGTCATTCATGCACTCCCTGTAGTTCTTTGCAATCAGGGAATAGAGATGCTTTAAACTTTGGTTTTTCCCAGCAGCTACCAGGGCTTCGGCTGTGGCCAAGTGCATCACTGTGTCATCGCTGACCTTCCAACCTTGGATGCTGAGGTTGCCGAGTCCCCCCATCTCTGCCAGCTCCTTGTGGATGGCTGGGCCACTCTGCAGGAACTCCCATTTCCCATTGTAATAGCCCAGCGTGTCACCAACTGCGCTCAGCACCATCGCCGCCACATAGTTTTCCATCGTCTCAGGACACAATTTTTGCCCCAGGACTGCTTCAATGCAGAAAACGCTATGAAAAAAAAGAGGGAGATTAAAAATAAAATGTTTCCCAGTTCCAATA